TGGAACGAACTACCCCCCGAGATCCGGATGATTCCGGATCTCCTTACTTTCCGCCGCGCCCTCAAGACATGGCTTTTCCAGCAAGTGGGCCTGACCTAAGGAGGATTTTATTTAGGGACGATTTTAAGTATAATTTTAATTGGAACACAGCTTCGAATATTTGGTTTTAATTTGGTTTTAGAGGGGTTTTTATTTTTATTGATATGTGTACCTGTTTTAATATGCTGTGCACCGCCCTGAGTCCTGCGGGAGAAGGGCGGTATAGAAATTAAATTAATAATAATAATAATAATAATAATAATAATAATAATAATAATAATAATCACGTGATCAAAATTCAGATGCTTGGCAGCGGATTCGTATTTATAACGGTTGCCAAGTCATGTGATCATCTTTTGCAACATTCTGACGAGCAAAATCAATGGGGAAGCCTGATTCACTTAACAACCAGGTTACTCGCTTAACAACGATTCGCTTAACTGACAAGAAAGGTTACAAAATGGGACAAATTCACTTAACAACTGTCTCGCTTAGCAAGAGAAATTTTGGGTTCCTGGGTTGATGTAAGTCGAGGACTACCTGTACACACACACACACACACACACACACACACACACACGGATCCTGTAGAGGCCCCTGACCAGCCAGCTAAACTGCCCTCTACTACAAAGAACCCTGGGCAGGTTCCATCAATTCCAAAGGACTTAAAACCTTACCCAAAAGATCTGTTGGGATTCCTTTATCTCTTAACTGCACCTTTTAATTGTTTTGCTCATGTTTTGTACCGACAGAGCCACAACCCAAAATGCCAAAGGGAGAAAAGAAAAAAACTCCCAGCTCTGCACTTCTACCCATTAGCAAATTCCGAAGGAAATTAGTGGAGACTATTCAAGGCAACACCTTTGTCGTGGTGACGGGTGAGACGGGAAGTGGGAAAACTACCCAACTTCCCAAATATTTATTTGAAGAAGGTAAGAGCACGTACACACGAGTGTATCCCACTTCCAAGATTCACGGGCGTGGGCAGTTGCCGAGGCTTATGTAGGAGAAGAGCGGGCAGAGTTGGAGGGGGCAGAGTTAAGTGTGTCAGCAGCTTAGAGTCATTACATTGCCACAAACGGAATTCGGTTGACGTTTATCTGGCGCCAATTTAGTATGGAACTTTAGTTCAGATTCTTGTATACAGGCGGTCCTTGTTCTGTCCCAGTCCATGTGAGTCCTTGTTAATTTCACAAGGACAAACCCCTCTTTAACAAGTAGGCTGGAAATGCAGGAAAAACAAACCCCTTTTATTAATTAGATGCGCAAAATGTCCCCAAAGCAAAAACAAACAAAACACGATGCAAACAGAGAATTGTCCCAAGGCAAACAGAACACAATTCAAACGGAGAATTTTCACAGGCAAGGCAACAGAATCTGATTCCATGAAACTTGAGTTCTTTGCAAACGGTTGCCTTCAGCAACCAGCACCACCCAAACCTTACCTTTTTATTGTGCAGCCCCAAGGTGTGGCTTCTCAATGCCTTCTCCTCCTCTCTTGGAGTCGCCCCGTTGCCTCCCTCTGTCCTGCTCTTGTTGCCTGTCTGCGTTTGCGAGCATCTATGATGTCTTCCAGCTGTAAGACCTCAGAGTCTGACTCAGCTTCCCTGCACAGCTGGGCCTCAGCCTGAGCACGATTGGAAGGGCCAGGCTCTTCATCAGATTGTAAGTCCTGGAGCTCATCAGAGCCTTCCTCCGATGGCTCTCCAGGCCCCTTCTCCTCCTCCTCCTCCTCTGATTCCCCGGACTCAGCTGCCGGGTCCAGTGGCTGGCACACTCACAACAGTCCTCGACTTACGACCACAATTGAGCCCAAAATTTCCTTTGCTAAGCAAGAAAGTTTTTAAGTAGGTTTTTGCCCCATTTTACGACCTTTCTCGCCACAGTTGTTAAGTGAATCATAGCTGTTAAGTTAGTAACGTGGTTGTTAAATGAATCTGGTTTCCCCATTGACTTTTGTTTGTCACAAAGTTGCAAAAAGTGATCACATGACCCCTGGCAGGGTGATCTCTGCTCGTTGTTATTCTTCCCTTCTAAAAAATCAGTAATGTGGGGTTTTTTGCTTGCTTTTCATAGGGTTTGCCAGGCAGGGCACCATTGCTGTGACACAGCCACGGCGCGTGGCTGCCATATCCGTGGCTGAAAGAGTGGCAGAGGAACTAGGCTGCCCAGTGGGGGGCCTTGTGGGATACCAGGTTCGCTTTGAGGAATGCATCTCGGAGGTATGCATTCGAATCCCACTTATTCTTGGAATTTATTATTATTTATTGTATTTGTGTGCTGGTTTTTTTTTTTTTAAGTCAGAAGAGATTCCTGGCTTATGTGTAGTAGCAGGATAATGCCTGTTTTGGGGTTTACGGTCAAAAACAGGAATGACGCAGCATAACAAGGAAAAAAGAATGAGGAGGGGAAAGGGGGGAAAAATCCTTGAATCTGATAAGTGGATATTTAAAACAAGTTCCTCTTAGTATTTAATAAAAAGTATATTTTGTTTGAATTTCAAACAAGGTCAGCCAGATATGTAGAGTGGATTTGAAATTTTTATCCAGTGACTTGAGTCCTTCTCAAGGTCTTGGAATAGGCAGATGTAGTTATTTGATGGTATTAAACAGGGGTCTTCAAACTTGGCCCTTTTATGACTTGTGGACTTCAACTCCCAGAATTCCTCAGCCAGGCATGCTGGCTGAGGAATTCTGGGAGTTGAAGTCCACAAGTCATAAAAGGGCCAAGATTGCCAACCCCTGGTATTAAAGGTATTGTCCCAGGACAAAACTGTTCCAAGTCAAGCTGCCTTTTGCAATTGACTGATGCAGATTTTGTCAATGCCAAGGGTGCTCATGTGGTGTTCCAGATGTTTCGGGATTTGTACCCAAGGCAACCATGACTATCTTTGTTTTATTTTGCCACAGTTCTTTTTACAGATCTTTATATTTTGTGATCTTTTCCACTCTGCTCAAGTCCTGCCATGTCCACTATCCAGACTTTTTTGTCTTTCTTATCAACAGTTGTTAAGTCTGGGGTGTCATGCGGCAGGTGCCTGTCTGTTTGAATTCTAAAATCCCAAAGCAATTTAGCTTCTATTACTTTTAGCTTTTCTATTACTTTCCCCTATTTTATGGCCCTACCAGTTCTTGCTTGCAGGCAAGTGGTATTTCTTGCAAATCTTCCAATGCACCCTTGTTGCTTCTTTGTCGTGTCGCTGCTTGTAGTCAGTCTGGGTGATCTCCTTGCAGCAACTAACCAGGTGATCCACTGTCTCTTTCTTTTTCAGTCTTCTTTGCAGTCTTCTTTGCAGAAGTATCGCTATCACTAGCTTCTCAATTTCTGTTTTGTATGCATCTTAGCCATTGCCTTGTCTTATTATCTGCTTTGCCTGCTGCTTTTTTTTTTTAAATGTACTGACCATGTAATATTTTGTCTTGCCATGTCTTTTTTCTGTTATTATTGTTCATCCAGCCAGATGTTTAGACTGGTTATAATTATTTTTTATTATAAGATTTTATTAGTTTTTTCCGTACATATAATAATAATTTTTCAAACAACGTGCTGTCTGAGTTTAAATACGCTAATACATATTTAATTGCTAATCCTTTATTCTTTCCCCTAACCATCGGTAAAGTAAGTCCCAAATTTGATAATATTCTGTTTCTTCTTTTTCTTTCAGTCTCATAGTCAATCTGTCCATCTCTGCGCATTCCAATTTTTTTTATTATTATTTCTTCATCTGGTGGTATTCTTTCATTTTTCCAATATTGCACAAATATTATTTGTCCCACGTGGCCGGATGCATCCCAGCACGACTGGTTTCCCTCCCCCCTGTCCCATCCCTCCTGGCCTCACATGCTCTCCTTTTCCTGGGCATGACCCACTGCATCGCCTCCTCAGCTGTTGGCCGTCCGTCCAGCTCAGAGGTGGCTTCCCTGAACTGCTAGCGGCGGGCTGTGGAGCCCCAGAGTGCGCCGGTTGAGGGGCCAACAGGCTGTGGCTGCTGACGGACACTGTCGGCCTCCATGCGCTCGCTGGCCTCTGTGTGCAGGGGCCGATGGTGTCAGGCAGCAGCCGGCCCGGCCCCTGCCTCACCTTGCCTGCGACAATGGCACCCCCACCCTCCCTCGCTTTGCCTCACCTCACCCCGCAGGATGAGCCTCCTACCCACCGCCCCACCTGCCAGAGACCCCCTGGATCTCCCCCAACTCTGCCTGGCCCCTACAGGCATCCCTCCCCACGAGCAACATGGAGGTGACCACGCCCACCTTGGCCACACCCACCCAGTCTGCCATGACCACCACAGCCATGCCCACCCAGTGGGCCACTCCCTCCTGCACCCGGCGATAAATAAGTGGGTTTTGGGTTGCAGTTTGGGCACTCGGTCTCTAAAAGGTTCGCCATCCCTGGGATAGACCGATAGGGGAAACCTTTACCTTTATTTTTTTATTTACTTTTTTAGTTATTAAATAAAAAGCATTGTCTTTCTGAGTGGTGGATTTCCTTCCAGCAGCATCAGGAGTTTTCTTTGCTGTAATCAAAAGGATATCGCTCACTAAATATTGATTCTATACGTCCCAGGAAACTGCAATCAAGTATCTGACGGACGGGTGCCTGTTACGGCAGATCTTGGCAGACCCACATCTGACCCAGTACAGCGTCGTCGTTCTGGACGAAGCTCACGAACGGAGTCTCTGCACGGTCAGTGCTAATAAAATAGGCAGATTAAGATTTATTTCTCTAGCTTGGTGAAAGCTGAACCAGCCAGCCAGGGTTTAAGCATCGTGGGCACTTTGCTCTATGGTGAGCTCATAAAAGACTTCCTAGATCTGAAAGACGCAGCATAAGAAGAAGGGGGCGTGGGAGGGAGAAGGAAAAGTGTAAGCTGAGCACCCAGGACAGGGGTAGGCAACCTTGGCTCTTTTATGACTCGTGGACTTCAACTCCCAGAATTCCTGAGCCAGCATGGCTCAGCATGGAAACCTCTCCATTTCTCCTCAGCATGGCTGGCTTAGGAATTCTGGGAGTTGAAGTCCACGAGTCATAAAAGAGCCAAGGTTGCTTACTACTGACCTAGGACTTAATGAAGTTAAGAGAATGCAGCCAAGGTCAAAACAATACTTTGGGGCTTCAATTCCACGCTGGGTGGCATTTTGAAGTTTCTTTGTTTTTAATCCTCCCATGGAATTTCCTTACATCCTTTCCATTCTGGAGTATAGGTAGTCCTTGATTTATGACTTCAATGGAGCTATCTATCAAGGTCATGTCATGAAGGTTGTAAAACAGGTCATTCATGTGACCAATCCAATTTTATAATAATAATAACAATAAAGTTGGAAGGGACCTGGGAGGTCATCCAGTCCAACCCCCTGCTCAGGCAGAAAACCCTATACCATTTCACACAAATGGCTGTCCAGTCTCTTCTTAAAAACATCCAGTGTTGGAGCATTCACAGCTTCTGGAGGCAGGTTGTTCCACTGGTTAATTGTTCTAACTGTCAGGAAGTTTCTCTTTAGTTCTAGGTTGCTTCTCTCTTTAGTTAGTTTCCATCCGTTGTTTCTTGTCCTGCCTTCAGGCGCTTTGGGGAATAGCTTGACTGTCTCTTCTTTGGGGCAGCCCCTGAGATATTGGATCGCTGTTATCATGTCACCCCTCGTCCTTCTGTTCGTTAAACTAGACCAGGGGTAGGCAACCTTGACTGTTTTATGACTCGTGGACTTCAACTCCCAGAATTCCTGAGCCAGCATGGCTCAGCTTGGAAACCTCTCCCTTTCCCCTCAGCATGGATGGCTCAGGAATTCTGGGAGTTGAAGTCCACGAGTCATAAAAGAGCCAAGGTTGCCTACCCCTGAACTAGACATACCCAATTCCAGCAACCGTTCCTTGTATGTTTTAGCCTCCAGTCCCATCATTATCTTTGTTGCTCTTCTCTGCACTCTTTCTAGAGCAGACATGTCCAAAGTCCGGCCCGCGGGCCATTTGCGGCCCGCGGCCCGGTTTAATCCGGCCCTCGAGCAGCCCTCCCTGCTCTATATAAATGTGGCCCTCCCACGGCCCTCCGGCAAGTCCCATGAGAGAGAGAGAGAGAGAGAGAGAGAGAGAGAGAGAGAGGCACTTGCACTTCTGTCTCTCTCTCTCTCTCTCT